AGCACTTGGTATTCCCAAGAGGTCATCCATCTAGGTATCGACCAGGCTCAACATTGCTTAACTTTTTGGTGATTGTATGGGACCCAGTGTTTCAATGTGATATGACCATAAGAAAGAAACCATCTCTATTGTATTTGTATTTTACTTGGTCTTAAATTCTAGTGCATCCAAGTGTACAGTTCTGTATGCCTAATGTTAACAGTCAATGCAGATTCACATGACCGCTGTGAAAACAAAACAAGTGGCAATACAGGGGACAAAATATTGATAGTAAATAATTGTGAAATTATTTAATATAGTAACCATTACTATTTCATATCTGAACTGAGTTTTTTTTCTAATATATATATGTTCTAAACTCATCTGCACTGGCTTCTCTTTTACAGGATGGCTTCTGAATTCCTTCCTTGTATTGTTGCTACCACAATGGTTTCATTCATCTAGCTTACAGCCTTCTTCAGGTGAAATAGAAGACTTTACAAAACAAGATGGAGATATCAACTGGAATGGTTCATTCAAATATATCATTTTAGTAATGTATTAATAAAAAAAAAAAATAAAGAAAAAAGTGAAGGTCCATACTGACTCCCTTGTCAACCCCAACAGATCCTGTGTCAAAGTAGGCTTTTTGTGAAACTAGTTTGCCTTTTCTAGCCTGATCAACAGCCATAGCTAGAGATCCCAATTTTCATTGCTGCTTAATTTGGGGGGGGATTCCTACCTATGCCAAAGGCATTAGTGTAAAATGAATAAATAAAACTGGTTCAGCTGGAATTTAAACAACTTGCTGATCCTCCTTCTCATGCTGACAGCTACCGTGTTACCCACACAACCAAACACAAAAGAGAAGATCATTTATACAAAGATCAAAATATTAAAGACCTTCCCAAAAGTTACAGACAAGAGATTTATTATAAATGTGCATGCTCATTTAATTCATTTTTAATCAGCTTATATCTGACACACATACACACACATTAACATCTGTGTACTTCATGTAGAACAGCAAGAAACTCAGATTTCATCAGTATAAATACAAAGTTTTAACTATAAACATAATATGGAAAGAGAAGTGTATTGCACATTCAAATATCAATCAATATATAAAAGTTGTGAAGAGTTTTAAAAATCTATAAAGGTTATCAGAAATTTAAAAATATGTAAGGTAGACAACTTCAATACAGAGGAAGTTTCTTATTGCTATCAATTTGGCAGAGACTCTTTCAGACAATAATAGGTTGAAAACATTATGCAAATGGTATAAAGTGAGACAATTTAGATTTATTGTTCTTAGATTCATTGTTATAAACAATGTTGAAAGTAATAATGATAATACAATTGAAAAAAAAAAAGAAGTGAAATTTAGGAGAATTTAATGTATTTTTATGCCAAAAAGTGATCAATAGACAACCAGAGCTATGATAAATCAAGAAAAGTTCATGTGCATGATTTATTGAATAAGCATTGTTATAAAAAATTATTGATTTGAAATTAATCTTTTACTAAATTCAATTTAAATAAAGTATTTGGAACTGTTTATCATTTATATGCTATGTCACTTCAGGATGTTGGCAAGCATGGCTCTCCACAATTTCTTGTTCCTTATAGATCTAAGTAAAGTTTGGCTCTTTAATATCCCTCTTTATCCTCACAAACTCAGTAGGTAGGTTGCCAGCTGTTTCTATCCCCTCCTTCCCTAAATATGCCCTGTGAACATTAAATTATCCATGCTGTCCTTCCTCATCAGGTATCCCAGAACTTTAAACTGTATCTCCCTGATCCTAAGCAAAAATATCCTTTTCTTTCCCATTTTACTTAAGACTTCCTCATTGCTCACATGTTCAATCTATGGTATTCTAAGGAACCTTCTGTAAAACTATATCTGTCACTTCAAGTTTCTTCTTCAACTGTAAGTAAATTGTTCAGCATTCACTGCCATGCAGGAGGATAGATATGAAGCATCGGTTCAGCCCTCTTTATTTCTATCAAAATTTTCTTCAACATCTGTACATTTCTGAGATGAGATGAGATATTATAACTATTTACACTGGATACATGGCTCTGGATAAAAGCATTGGTTGAGTGAGCTAAAAAATGACTTAGATCAAAGAGTTGTGGGTTCAATACCTGGCCACAGCAGAGAGAACAAAAGCTTGAAGAGTTGAGTTACTAAAGAGAATTAACTGAAACAGACATAAAAAAAAAGAGGCATGGCATTAGAACAATCTACCCCCAGTGGATAAAATAAAGAGTTTGGTTCAAAATTCCAATGTATATCATATGAAGAAGGCAAACTGTTGTGAATATGGCAATAAAGTGGAGGACAACAGTCTGACTGATTTGTAAAAGATTTTATTTACACTATTTACATTGTTCAGAATGTTGTCTACATCTTTGTTGTCATATTCAAAATGTTTCGGCTATTGTACACTCAGGACTTCTTCAGGTGATTGGAATTTCAAACTGAACTCTTTATTCTGTCCACCAGGATAGATTGTTCTAGTTCCACATATCATGTCTCTTCTAGATGTCTCAGTTATTTCCTTTTAGTAAGTAATTTCCCAGTTCTTGTGCACCTTTGTTGTAGTCAGGTATTAAACTCACAACTCCTTGGATCCAACCAAGGACACATGGCCCAGTGGAAAAAAGCGTTGATTGGATGCAATGACTTGACCAAAAAAGTTGAGAGTTCAATATTTGGCTACTGTAGAGGTGATCATAAGCTTGGTGAGGAAAGTTACTAAAGGGAGATAACCAAGATATCCATTTCCTCTGCTTTTGACATTTATATTTAATTTGTACTTTGAATTATATAAAATTTAGTTATCTACTTAAAACCCACTTAATTTTTTTTTTCTCACCACTATAACTCCACTGAAATCTTGGAATAACATGTGAATTTTGGCCAACCATATTTGTCAAATTTACAAAAGGATATTCATAGATCAGAAAAGATCATTAAATGCAATAGGCATAAAATATCCATTGTTTCTAACAATACACACACACATCACAAGAGTGAAAAAGCAACAAACTAAGTAGAACCTGATTAGCATTGGTTTTATAATCAGTCTTGAGCATTTTGTAAAAGGGTAAACAATACAAAATAATAATAATGTGCCAAGTCAAAGCTTATATGGATTTGAATATGTGGAGTTAATATTATTATTAACTCGATAACAGTAAAATCACGACTTTTTATTTGATATATTGAAGGTTTAATAAGAGATAAAATATGTAAAATTACAAGCTGAAAGAAACTTGAATGAAACTACAGAGGTCAAATTCTGGGACAAAAAATAATCTTATGACATTTTTTAGGTGAGGCGGAGACTTGAATAGCAAGAAGAATAAGATAAAAAATAATTTACTTATTTATATCTAGTGTAGAGAGTGTGATGCAATATTTGACAATACCACAGCTATTGTGTGGTTTTATAGCAGGACATATTTTAATGTATTTGGAAGTAGAGTAACATAAAACTATATTATATATAGTATACTATAGTAAAGAAAATGTTTTGGGACATTACTGAATATGCCACGTTAATAAAATAAAATAAAATGATATGTTGAAATAGTTCCTGTTGAAGGCTGAACTTTCTGTTACATAATCTAAAGAACTTGACTGACACTAATTGGACAAAGTTTTAAATTGAACTGCAACTAATTTATTCTAACACAAGGAAAATTTAATAACTACATTTTGTAAGAAATAGTCAATGAGTAGAGGCTAAATGAATAATATCAAATCCAGAAAAAAAAAAAAAAAATATTAGTATGACTCAATTTTGCATCCTGACACAGTTATTGATAGAATATTCAGTGTATGTGGTGATTCTTATTTTTTTTTTTTTTTTTTTTAAGCAATTCACTCCAAACAAGGCAGTAATGCCACTAAAATGCAAGGGGATACTGTGAGTGAAAGATAATGAAAATACTTTAGAAGGAACCGGAAACCCAACCTGAAGCAGAAAACGAGGGATAAACCTCAACTCCTGTTCAAAAAACTGGGGAGGACTGTGAACCAGATGACAGGCAAACCTATTTACTCATAACTGAATTAAATGCATTGACAATGAAGATTATGTTGAAAAATATTTGTTGTGTGAATTTTTTTTTTTATTATTAGGCTAGACTTATTGATGTATCTATATAAAGCACATAGTAATATAGCACCATGGCAAAATGAAACAATATATGAGTCACAGGGAAATGTAGTTGATTCAATCATTATTGAATCAACTACAACTAGATATTTGCTATGTTATAATACACCATGTCATATGGATGTGCATTGTGCATGTAGTCAAGTGGTTATTGGTATGGAAAGTAGGATTGGTGTATTGAGTCAAAGTTTCAGCAAAGATTGCTATGTTCACTTTCACACAAATACCCTTGGGACAAACTATGATTCAATCTCTTCCTCACACTAGATATAATCCAGTGCACCCACTTGATGATCCTGAGGGTACAGGTAGTGAGGCTCTTGCCAAGAGGCCACATCACAGTGCTGTATAGTAGCAAGGAGAGGACAATTGCATCATGGTTAATAACAGGACAGTTCTGTCTTTAGTCAGCAACCAGTCTAATAGAAGGAAAACACTGAATACAAAACCACCCTGTAAAATATTATTATGGAAACTACAGCAGCACCAGCAAACATGGTGAGACTGTGGCTCTATATTTTACAGGGTATCTACAGTGTTAAAAACAGCATTTATGTAACATATTGTTCAATATAATTGCTGTTGCACACTGTACTATGTGCAAAATTATCATTGACTATTACAATATACAACATTGCATTATATTTCATAAATTAACACAATATTAATAAGGATGGTTTTCTCAGAGTTTAGGATATACATTTACAGAGACTGGAAATAAATTGGAGAAATAACATAGACAAAATTTATTAAGAGCTACAAGGGATAGGAAGTTGTGTAGACCCATGATTGCCTACACCTTGAGGAGACACAGGACATAATGAAGTGGTTAACTTCCAGATAAACACTGGTCAACTGGTATAAACTCTAAGATGAAGACTTTCCAGCAAAGAAATATTGAAAAGCAATTATTTTATGATTAAATAAAATAAATTGATTAA